TTCCATCTTTCCTTCCCACTTAACACTTACTCCTAAATACCTCCAGTGATAATTACACTGTATATTTGACATTTCTAAAATAAGGCCAGAATCCCAATTCACAGTTCAGGGCTAAGCCAACACCACGGAGCTAATACAGTAGCTTCAACAAGGCACTAAAATATTACTTTGCACCATGAAAACAAGAATACTCATTCATATGAATTGCAAATTATTGGTGCAAAGGTTTTCAGTTTTGAGAGTAACTTGCTCTACTTCTACTACATATGGAGATGGGAAGGAGCTATAAAGGCAAGTTTTGATAAAGCCAATTGCCCATATAATGGCAGCGGGCATTCCCTTGTCTGATGGCTGAGCAGGGTAGTAAATGAAACTTTCAAATTTATTACAGATTACCTAAATTCAAAAGGCTTCAAAGATAGATGAAATCAAGCAAGTATTTCTGCAGGAAAGGGGTGGGAAATTTGTCGATGAAATCATCTTCAGAGCCACAAGATGGCCTCCCTTGCCATAGGAGACAGTTTTTGAGTTATCTATACTAATCAATTGGAAGCAGTAGGCAACATACATTAAAGTGAGGAGAAGAATGGCAGGCAGAATTTTACTCCTTTCCAAACTGTTGGAAAGAACAAACTGTTTTTCCTAACTGATGAGATTCCTACTTCAGGCTAATAGCTTCATATAAGCCCCTTTTTCAAAAGATTGTTTGCATTTCTAAAAAAAGTCCTAAATGTTGTATCTAAAAGGGTAACTGTAGCTAGCAGAAGAGCTCGTTTATGTTTTATTAGTTGGACATATGCAATCAGCAGTGCAAATAATTAGGGAAGCCCAATCTGCATTAAACAAGCCCACCCAAGACTGACTTTTCTGATATGTGGATGAAAGTGCCATTTTCTTTGCTTTACCCTTCTTCAAATTTGCAATAGAATCTTGTCCTCAAAAAATAAGACCCCAGTACATTAAAATAAAGAATGCTGAAGACTAATGTGGAAACAAGATGTGACAGAATGAATCAGCACACACAACATGGACCCAAGCTGAACACAGATGAGTCTGTCCACCTGACAGCGAGCTTATTCTCAGGAAAGAATGCCTAGGGTTGGAGTCAAACTGTGGAATGAACAGGTTAAATGCTTTTTAAAAATGTGTGCTTGTCATCCTGCACAAAAGCTTGACAGTACAATACTGCACATAACTACTCAGAAGTAGACCCTGTGGAGCTTAGTTCTACATAAATGTGCAGGATAAACTTGATCATTTTCAACAACTTAGCCAGAAATTTACAATAGTAAGAGCTAGAAGCTTCCCCCCCCCCCCCCCCTAATGTGAAAGCAAAGATTCTGAGAAACTGGAACGCTGCATCTAATCCAGGACTGCCTTTTGTCCTTCGAAGTGCAGCATGTAGATCAGACTAGAAACTTACCTGGAAGAGGGTGGGGAGGAGGGGATTGACAAACGCCCCCTTTGACAAGATGGTGTAGCTTGTCCACTAATCCCAAGAGGCCTTTCAAAGGGACACTCAATGACAAGTTATGCCAGATCCAGCTTAGGTGACCTTCCAGCGAAAGTACAGGTCAGGATGGTTAAGTATTTGCTGCTGTACTGATCTAATAATCTAAGCTGTGACCCAGATTTTGCACACAAGTGGGATGGATTCTCCTTGTAGTGTGAACTGCAAGATCTTGTTTCTTATTACCAACGATTAACACAAGCACACTCCCCCAACACAGTAAGTTGTTTTAATGTTTTCATGGCAAATAAAAACAAAATAGATATACATATGAGTTACTGGTCCAACATAGGAAGTATGCACATTTTGAGTTTTACAGAATTCTTCATTGGAGAGAGACTTCTAAAATTCAGTGAAGCCTGCGTACTCTATTCTCAATCTATTCTGGCCCCAGTACTGAAAAAACTACATCCTCTGGGATCACAATATGACGGTCATTACCTCTTTGAATATATGATGCCCAAGGAAAACCTCACCATCTTATTCAAAGCTTTACTTCTGTATGTCTTGTCCACTGATAATGTATTGTTAATGAGGAAGGGGTACGGGTCTTAAGTATTTGGCAGGCGAGGGGTTGATGATAGTCATTTGTCTGGGAAATAAACAGGGAAGACTGGGAGATAAATGCTAAAAGACTCTAAAGCTTGCTTTAAAATATGGCTAAGAGACTTCTGGTTGAAAGATGCAGATCTTATGATACTGAGGTATTTATCTGGTATTGCTTATTTATCTATCCCCAGTGTTACGCCCTCACAAATAAAAAAACCCCCCTAACTTTATATAGGGTAACTTTTAGAATTTCTTACTTCTGTAAGAGTGCTAATTAATTCGAACATGTGGGTATACTAGTGAGACTATTTTATATGGTGACATGTGTTTGTAAAACCCTGGCCACATGGTGGCAAAACCTGCCCATAACTGATTTATACCAGTTAAATTTATAGTGGTGAATCCTGCTCTTATACTTATGTTAAAAAATCAACAAGTTAAAAATATAAGCAAAAAATAGCACACACTCCAGGGACTCGCATTTAAAACCCAAACCAAACAATTTTAAAGATCCGTGCATCACACTGTTCTTTCCCTTCAACTTTTGTTTATTGATGTACTGAACATGAAAAAGTACAAAGGATCCAAACACAAAAGAAAACATGTACAGCCTCTTTTAAATACTCAACAGAATATATTTTTCTATCCAACAGATGTGAATTAAGTCATACTGTACAACTTCAAATAAATACCAGCCTTACATTTTATTAAGTGCTCTGATAAATAGTGTAAAGTGAAGCCTGATAGACATGCCCTTCTCATCAATGCCTTTTTTTTGCTACAGTAGTATATAGTAGCAAATAATATAGTTACTGTTTTCCCCCCACCACAATGGATCTCTTTGTTTTCTGAAGCATAGAAAGTTTGTGTTAATACAGAATAGTTGCTCAACGCATCTACAATGAGTGTTGCTTCGGAGGCCAATTGATTTGAGTAGCATTGAATGGGTCTAGCATGAAAAGTAGCTTGTCACTTTAGCACACTTTATTCTCCCACAGTATTATGTACTGTACTATACTGAAAATTTATAACTACAGTTCAAAAGAAAAAGAATCAAAAAGCAACTGCAAAGATCATGTACAAGTATGTTATGCATAGCACATTGCTTGTTCTAAGGGGAAGCATATGAGCATCTCAGTTTATACAAAAAGCAGGACGGAACTATATAGTTGTCAGTGCATCCCGGTGAAGGCACTGTAGCCTTCAGCTTTTTAAAAATTTATTATAAGCTAGATGCTAATCAGAAAATATTTGTATTTTTGACCTTAAATTTCTTCCATACATGGTAAAGACTTTATTATTTCCCCAAATAAGTGATTTAAGCATCATACAAAGTTAAATTTCAATAGCATACAGGTATTTATGATTCTGGTATGAAAAATGTAAGGAATTTGTTCAAAACCTATGGTTATACTCATTTTTTTTACCACAAACATATTTATAAACAAAAATGTAGCATCACCATAAACAGCTGAAGCTAGACTATCTACAGACAAAATTTGCAACGTATCTGATACACTGTAAATTCAAGTCCCCAGGACAACAAAAATGAATAAGCAGACCTCAAGTAACAATCTTAATGCCATTTACAAAGGAAAAAAACATACAAAAACATTCAAAATTTGAACATCACTTGGCATGTTAAGAAGAAAAGAAAACAAAAAACAGAAGAAAACTCAAAATATTAGCTGAAAAGAGATTCATAAACAAAAGATCTTATTTACATTACACAAAGCTCAGGTGTTAGCCTTGAACGTAACTTTCAAAATACCTTCAAATATATCCAACGCAAGACTGCTTCTTCCTGGTCTGCCATTGTGCAAACCATGTGCAAACATCTTTTTTTTTTCTTTAAGACAAAACAATTCTTCAAACAATACTGCAAGTACATCACTAAACACCATGAGCTCTATCTGAAGGGAATTCTATAGGAAGAACAGATTTTTTCCCCCATCTCAGTTAATTTAAATTTCTTGCCTGCTCTTATATACTTTTAAATTTTTCATTTGTTTCAAAATCACAAGTTAATGTGAGCCACCTATCACATAGTAACCAGGATGTTCAGAGACTGCACCAACGATTACAAAATCAAAACCAGCAGTGCTTTCCCAGTGATTCCACTTCTTGAGTAACAAAGATCTCTAAAGAATTTCTACATCATAAATCTCTCTAAAGTGTTTTTCCCCCAACCACTGCAAATTTCCTGGTAAGTTTTAAAAGCTCACTAGGTGTCATATGAAGAGATTTCTCAAAGTATTCAAGTCAAAATATTTGTTCCAGGACCTGTAAAAAGTTTCTCCAAATTTTCTCTTTTTTATAAAAATAGATGCTTTGTTTTTTTTAAACCCACATCAAAGAGGCTCTTATCTCTTTGGCAAGGTACTGCTTTACGAAAAGTTCTCCATTAATCTTACAATAAGCTTTTATAATGCACCACCCCCCTTCCCCAACCCAAATCATAATTACAAAATAAATATTTTTAAACTTTATAAATAAAAATGTAAACTTGAAAACATTTTTCTTGAACAGACTAAACAGCAAGGCATTAAAGTATAAATCAAACACAACGTAAGATTAACTAACTCAAGAATTATAACACAAAGCCTCAATATATCTACTCACAGGTTCAAGGCAGTCGTGTAAAAGAAATTTCTTCCCTTAGCTCAAACATTTTAAAAGGTCCGCCTTCTTCAAAGAAGGCAATAGAATGCATTGTGACAGGTAAAAACCCTGTACCTCTTGTCCATATTCAAACATAAGATATTTAAGAAGTTATAATTCAAATACTAGCAATAAAAAATCTCGCATATTCTTAGGATGCTAGTCTTTTATTCCCCCATCTCAACACTGACTTACAAAGACATTTACTAATGTATAAAGTTTCTTTTAACTTGCCTTTGTTGAATAGTTTTCAAATATAAATTGGATTGAGGGCAACTGATTAGGCTTTGTGCGTTTTGTTTGTTTTAAATGAGACCTGCAAAACTCTGTCTCCAAGGCGGTATCCATTCAGGCTGGCTATTGCCATGGCTGCCTCATCATAGTTTGTCATAGTCACAAATCCAAAACCTTTGCACTTGTTCGTGTTGAAGTCACGGATAACCTTCACGTTGGTGACTGCTCCGAAGGGTCCGAACATTTGCCACAGGATGCTTTCATCTGCATCGGGAGCTAAATTGTACACAAAAATGCACCATCCCGTTCCCGCGTGTCCTGGGATGTTGATCCCAGCCAAACTGGTCATTCCATCAATGGTCATTGGAGAAAACCTACTAAGCAATGCAGGTGGGGCAAAGGGAACAAGGCAAAACAAAGACAGAAGATATTTAGAAGATTAGCACAAAACATTCATTTAAGAATGCATTCTGTTTCCACATATCAGCATGCTGAACGAGTTAACCTAAGAACATTTCTGTCTAATTGTCGTGCCCTAAGAAGGCAGTTGCTTCTTTCTTTTGGCTTCTGATTTTGCTGGAGACTCTTGTTGAAAGACACTTATATTCTGAGTGGGCAAAGCATACATTCACTGTTACAGCACAGCGCTTCTCAAACTCTGTGCCGGGACTCACTAGCACGGCTCAAGAAAAAAAGCAATAAGTAAAATAAGGCCCCCAGGAGGCCCCTTTCACACTATTCTGCGAGCAGGTCATCCTGATTTTCTCCGTTGGGTATAACTGAATGACCCACTCAAGTGCTGACACACAGGCAAACTGTCTGTCTTTGAGGAGCTTCCCAGTTGCACTTCAATGTGAGCAACTTCCCTGGAAGGGCCTCCTTCCAGTGAAACATGCCTCCATCCAAGTTAATTCTGAAAGACAGTGAGTCTTCGTTAGCAGATTTCTGGGAAATATTGTGACTGATGGGTTCGGGATATGGTTGGCCAACACCATCCAGAGTACTATATTAGTAATTATTTATAAAAACAAACAACCCCCCTACAAACCCCCCCCCCCAATTAAATCATAGAATGCTAGTATGGCAGTGGTCACCTAAAATTAGAAATGAATATCTAATTCTAAATTTAAGAGCAACAAGGCTATGTTCATTTCAGGAATATCTTGGTCAATTCCTTTATTAAAGCTCCATAAAACAGTAATTTTTTGAATCCTCTCCCTCCTGCCTTTCCCATATGAATTTGGCCATGAAAGCACTGACAGCAACACTTCTGATGGAAATAGCAACAAATGTATTTGTTTTTAATTATTCTCACCCAGCCTTACTTAACAGTCACAATCAATGGTGAATTGGCCAAAGCTCGCCTCAGCCACTAACTCAATACGTTGCCTTAACGCAGTTGGACCCTGCCATGGGTGCTCTGTAATTTGGACCCTGGGGTTGTTCTTTCTTGAGAAAGAGTTGATCTGCCATGCCACATGCTCTGTTTCAGAACAAAGGCTCTATTGCCATGTCTACAGGACAGAGCTCTAAAGGGCTTATCCAGGCAATGCATGGAAAATGCTGGAAGCACTCCAGAGCATCACATCAATGCTATGATATCCGTATCCCTGTCTTAAGGATATCACTGCACCATCAGCTTGCCTAGACACAATAATGTTTGGCACTGAAAAAGGACTAGTGATACTATCAGAGGGCAAAAGTAGACCTTAAAGGTGCAGCGACATCTCCCCGCCCCCATTTTAGCTTTAGAGAAGTGCAGGGTTAAGATGGATTAGGACCATAACAGGTGAGTCTTCAGCCCTTCTCTCCTCACTCGGTACCAATCCAGCTTGGCCCCCACCACCTGCTATATCAATTGCAAAAAAGAGTGATCCAGTAGCTACATTTTTAACATAGTGCCTCTTGATCCTAGTACTGGAAGCTGTTCCTTAAGTTCTTCCAAAATCTAAGGTGATGCTATAAATGACAATACTACAGTCATTAAATAACAGGCACTAACTGTACAAGGATGACACTCACTGAGACACATGAGCAATACTGAAAGTGCAGCAACCAATGAAATGATGATGTCAAGTTAGGAAGTGGTAAAGGATGTACTTAATGACTTTTGTTCTATGTCAGAGCATGCAAAGGTAATTCAATGTAAACCATAAATATGTTAAGGAATACTGTTAAAAGGTACCAAGACTTTCAGTGCAGGCACAATTTGTCATTAGCAAAGCTAGTTATTATGGACCTAACACAATTCCTCATTACCTCTTTACTCCATAAGCCATATTGAGCAGATTGTCCAACCTGCAAAAGACATTAGCAAAGTGTTCAGTCTTCAGTTATTTTCCTCTGAAGTGTCAAATGTTAGTATGTCTTGAACGGTTTCTCACAGAACAGGTTTACAAGCCTGTGAATACACTACCGACAGGTATTATCTGCATTTGCCCCATCCCCCCTTTGGCTAGTGACAGAACCTTCAAGTATTTCACAAAGCCAGCTCTGATTACATTTCTGTTAGGTATTTATGTAAAAGAACAGCTCAGCCTCAGAGGACATTGAACAAGACTTTCACTGCAGTGCTATCAAGACAATTAGGTGTTTTAAAGTGACAGAATGTCTATATCAAAATGGTTCAGAACATGAGTTTCATCCAGAGATCCTTTCAGAAATCTTTACAGGAAGAGCTAAACAATATGTCTAGTCTCCTATTCTATTATCATAAAATATTTGGGCTCAAAGGTTTATTTACTCATTCTAAACAGGTTTATTTATCACATGCCATCCTATAACCAAAGCTATATATTCTAAAACCCAGGAGGAATTCTATTCTTTGGTATTTCTGATGATCAGAAAGCCTGATTTCACACATAACAGCAGGATTTGCTTAGTTTAAGTGTAGCTCCAGACATCTTAACCCACAACAAGCAGCACACAGTGGTTTATCTTTAAACAACAAACTCCACTTTGAGGCCATGATTTGAGGTCGAATTACAAATTCAGAGTTACTCCTGGTTTGTTTTTAAGCCAAGCTTCTAACAAATCCACAGAGCCAATCCTTGTCCCTATAGGTAAAACATAGACTGGGTTTTCATTCCATGACAGTCCTTGACATGTTGTCTGGAAACTCATTTGGTAAAGGAAGAAAAACCCTTTTGCTCAGGCCCCTGCTAGCACCAACCACCCCACAAGTGGCAAAGTGGCACTCCTGGATGTTCCCCACTAAGATCATGAAAACCTTCTGCTTCCTGTGGGTTTTTTGGTCATGTCTTCTTTCACAAAAGCTAGCTTCATGGTCCCTGTTTTGACAGCTCCTTTAAAGTGCTGAAGTGGCACATCAAAAGGGCTGTTGGCGGTTTGGAAACCATTCTTCATTTTTATGATTACTGTTGTTTTTGCAGAGCTGTGTGGCAATCTGAAGCCTTAGCTGAGTCAGTGTCCTGCAGGAAAGGTACCTGCTCGCATAACACAGAAGGTCTCAGCTGTGGACACTGGCCTCAAATGGTTCCAGATAGGCTTTTCCTTCTTACCCCTTTCATGGTTAAACTCTCCTGTTTTTGTTATTATTAATTACATTTCTATACCACCCATAACTGAAGCCCTCTGGGAGCATCACAACATTAAGTCACCCATTCAGATGTCAACCAGGCTCGACCCTGCTTAGCTTCCAAGATTTGGCAGGATCAGGCACTTCAGGCTTTATGGAAGCTCTCTGCGTGTGTTTTGCTTTGCTTTACACTAGACTGTCCTAAGGCTGAGCTTGCCTTTCCAGTTGTTCGCAAGATTCTAGATGTTTAAAAACATAGAAAAGTACAAGCCCTCATCCATTAAAGGAGCCTGCATTTTAACAGTGAACTGTCAAAATGGCTTTTTTTTTAAAGGATTTCTCGACAGAGTTCACCCTAGATTCTTGACAAGGACATATCCATTCATGCCTGCATATGCCCCAGTGAAGGAACCATCAAGAGCTCTGCCAAAACAAACAACAACAACAACAACAAAACCCCTTTAAAAGAGTTTTGACAAGTGTGGCAAGTAAGAACAGACTTAAAAGCCCCTCTAGGGTTCTGCTTGGGAACTTCGTCAACCAATGTCAAAACAGGGATCAAGAAAGCTGTAAGTCACAAAAAGCTAGTGACAAAAAATGCTGTGGCAAGCTGAAAATGGCTTGTGATTGTGGCAGGGAAGGGAGGCAAGCTGGTACTGCTGCAGAGTCCCCTGGGATACCTGTGGGAAGAACAAGGAAGGGGAAAGGGGCATAGGTGAACAGTTCGTGGTGAAATGGATTGCACATCAGGTAGATGACAGGTTGTCTGGTGAACAACCAATCCAGTATGGCTTACTGCCAGGGTGCTTTGTCATGACATGTGAATGCACCCATCCCCACAAACACAATGGCATACACAATCTACCATCTCCCTGCAAAACAAAATGGGAAAAAGAACCATGGGAGCATCAACTGTCCAGAAACACACAGGTAAAGAAACCCTAATGCCTCAAATACCCACTTCAGCACCTCATAGGAAGAAATCTTACCCCATAAGCACATGGGAAGCAAACCAAGAACCCACATACCAAAAGGTCACTCACAAGTACAGACAAAGCAATCTTCTACTGATGGTTATGTTCTCTGGGATGCCATTAGGTACTGGCAGAAGTGTGGGGGAAGCAGGCCAGGACAGGATGAAGAAGACATGTGTACTGCGCTCACCTGCAAGACTGGCTCACATTTGCTCAACAAACCATGGTTAAAACAAATATAGGTTTAGCCCTCTGTGAAAATAGTGATCATTGCTACAAACTGTGTGCACTTCAGGTTTGTTTCACACGTTTGAAGTTTTATATATTGTATACACTTTTGGTAAGCTGCCAACAACACTGCCAGGAATTGCGAAGAATTCATCCACTAGCATAACTTGAATGGAAGCACAATTTTAACAGATTTAACTTACTGAAAATATACCTTCCTATGCAAGCAAAAAAAAAGTCATTTTACACTTTAACAGTGTAATGGAAGCAGAATTTATATTACTGCTGGGTCACTATTAATTATTGTTGAGATATCAGAAGCCAGGCTCAGCAAGATGCACTTCCTCAGAGCAACTCTCTCACACTTTGCATATTAATCATATTTAAGTGAAGTGTTGGCACCAACATTAACTAAAGCTGGGACTGCTCTCACTACAGAATGGGGAAAGAGGAAAAAGCACACTCTTCCAAAGTTGACTCCCCTTCTTGCCGTTTTGTGTTAAGCCTGCAATGAAATCCTATGGCATATTCAGAAAGAACAAGTTCTAGAACTGCCAGCATCCCTTCAGGAAGCTATGCTTGCTGGGGCTTGCTGAAAATGGTAGGACTTTTTTCTGTATAAACATCAGGAGGATTCAGCCCTTAGATTAAGGGAGATCCAGCACTGTAATGAAAGCAACAAGATGAATCAAGGTGGGTGTCAAAAATGGCTTGAACCAAGACCCATAATGAAGCTTTAATTTTTTACTGAAACTGGAACATACCCTGAACTATGATCTGAAACTCTCAGTTAAACCTAAACTGGAACTGATCCTCGAAAGATGCAAAATGGCAACTTACTGGTTTAGAATAATGATTTGACTGAAAGCACCTGATGTAATCATGCCCACTGGCACCACCAAAGCCACAAAAAAGCAGAAGCAGCACAGGAAACATTTATATCTTAAGATTTACATATTTTAGGCTTCTCTACCTTCTTTAAGATGCTGTATCCACATTCTTTTAAATGGCTCGGCCTGGGAAACATAAGACAGCGACTGGAGACCTGCCGGGCCTTTAGGGCTACCATAGCAGACTGGAAACAGTCTAACTCTAATCCTTAACCTTTCAAAGAAAAAAAAACCTCTTTGCTGAACAACTTCTTGCTTCTCCACAAAGACCAGCTGCTCCAGACAGTGCAGCAGCTTCAGTTGCGCAACCAAACATGTGCAAACTCCTACACATGCTCAGGGCATTTCCATGGAGTGGAAAGACTTTGGAATTGGCCTGGTGCCATATGCCAGGCAGTGCTAACACCTCTTTGCTAAAGCACAAGTGCTACAAAAAGCTGACTCAGCTCTGGCTGCATGCCAGAACTGGTCAGAGACAACCTCTACTCTAGTCCAGCCTGCCTTTCCTCACAGATATAGTCAGAGCAGCCGCTCCATTACAACTTATTCACCCCATATGTTTGTGTGTCTCTGTGTGTAGCGTCTGGACTATTGTGTGTGTGGGATCTGCATTACGTATGTGCATAATCTGGTTGGTGTTTGGGATGTTTTTCCTGTGGTTCTGGGGTATTTTATGTGCACATGGTTTTGGAGTGTGTGAAACAGGGTTCCCCATATTTTGCAAAGGGTTCCTGCTGGCATTCCAAGGGATACACTCATTAGGGATGAGTGCAATGAGATGCAAAGGGATGCCCTTAATTCCTCCTGACCACCCAGTCCTTGCTTGCAAAAAATGTATAAGGAATTTTGTATTGTTCCACTTCCAAGTAGGTCTGCCCTGGTGGATTCTTTGCGATGAATATACAATGGGATGGAATTCTAGATCTTTTCAGAATGTGCTCTGTGTTCCAAAGATTCCTTTTCTGCGCAGCTCCGAGAACATCTTATTTGATTATCATTCATTGCTATTAAGGTTGGATGGACTTTCTTTTCCTTATCACCACCTTGATTGTGGAATGGGAGCTGTTGCTGGAACAGGAAAATGTGGTTCCAAAGGCAGTTTTGTACAACTGTGTGACTTTTGCACTACTTTGCCTGTTCCAGCTTCCACTTTCTCTTTTTATAGTCCGGGTGGCTGACTCTTGGGCTTTCAAAGACTTCCCCTCATGACCACTTGGCTCTGTCCGCATTGAGCTCCCTTTCCAGCAATTTGACTGGTTACCAGCCTCCCTTACACTAAGCTTGTTAACATGTTGTTTACTAATTTGTCCTATTGTCTGGCCAGCCAGACAGCAGATCCCATATACGTGTGTGCTGTATGTCTCACATACTCAACATAATGCAGTCTTTACACGTAAGTTATTAACAGGCAGTCCATGATTTTTTACTACAACTTCTGCACCTCTGGGCCCCTAATAAGAAATACTCAGTATTTGACACAGTTCCTATAATCTTCAGATATCCGTGGTAATTATGCAAAATCTGACTTGCACAATTATAAAAGTGGAGGATTATGTTAAGCACTTGATGTATGGAATAAATTACTTAATTACAAAAATTGTTCTAGTGAAGAGAAATTGTCACCTAAATGTAAGATATATGCAATGTTACAGTGCTGCTAAATTAACAGGTACCACAGAAAGAAACATTCTGTGGATAAGAAAAGAGTATTTCTAAAGAGAACTAAGCGTTCTGTGAAAGAAGCATTGCTTTTCACGATCTCAGTACTTTCTTTGGTCAAGTGTGTTTTGCAAGTCTATCAAACTACACTAAAGCTCAGTTTTAGATTTTTCTCATCCAGCTGACACCCTGGTGAACATTAAAGTTTTTTTTTTCTCTCACTGAAAAATTTCTGCAAACAAGTTGGACCAGGACTGACCATGTGGTGACAAATGGCAATCACTCTTTCAACCACCACCACGGTTCTTAACTTGTAAACCATGAACATCTGATAATTTGAAACCATTTTGGGGAGCAGAGACATGTTCTGCCAATTGGGCATTCAGAGCGTTGTGGTGGTTGGAGCACTGGTCTGACCCAGGTTCGAAGTTCCCTATCAGCATGAAGCTCACTGAGGCGTCAATCCCTTCAGGAGTCACTGAAGTCAGTCACTTCAGGAGTCAGTCAGGCCTAGCCTACCTCCCAGGGTTGTTGCTGTGAGGATAAATGGAATGCAGAAAAACTATGTAAGAATCCTTAGGCCCCTTGCAGGAGGAAAAAAGGCGGGATATAAACACAATGGTTGTAGTGTTGTTTTCATCATCACCATTGTCTACTTTTACTAGCTTTAAACCAATTTCAAACATTTGCGAAATTCATCTGCATTTGTAAGCATGCAGACATTAGTGAGAACCAGGTTTTGGATATTCAGTGCTAGACAAGCACATCTGGAGAGCATGGAAAGAGAGAATATTCACAAGAAATTTAGCGCCTCTACCAACCTGAATGCTTGCTTCACTTCTCTCAAATCTTTGGAAAGAAATCATTTTTAGTAAAGTCAGCACAGCAATCTGCTTTGATAGCAATCTTGGTTCTCTCATATTTCAGCTATTCCCATTTTCCTATGCTTTCACCCAAAACATGTAGTTTATAAGAAGGAAAAATACTACTTCCAACCAATACAAGCCAATAGGTGGAATATAGAAGATGCTGCATTTCTAAACAGATACTATCCATCTATTTCTGCAATTGAGAGTAGTAGCCATTACTCTGAGCCCTGGAAGTTCCATACACTGCTTGCTGATCAGGGATGTTATACAATATCACAGCAGCGAAGTAATGATTGAATCACAACCTGGCAGGACTATCAATGCTTCTGGAGCATGCACAATAGCAGTTCTATCAAGGAATCCATGGGAAAATGCAGGTTTAACAACATTCTACTCTTCTCAATGGGCCATCAGAACCACAGGCCCAAGTGCAACTGGTTTAGCTGTGTAAACTCTAATTTATGGGCTGAGCAAAAAGATACCCATCGGCTGAGCAGAAGGACCCTCATAATGAAGTCAACTTTGCATAGTATTGTGTTGGTAAGATTTAAAGCAGGTATTCTGAGCAAGTTTTCTTCCAATTTCCTAAATCATCTGAGATTAAGCCAATTTGCAAAGTCTCTGCAGTGAACTGTCAAATATAGGGGCATGGCAATTATTATTTTTTAAAGATGCAGGCTGCAATGTTCCCAAAAGAAAGTCTAATGAAGAAAGTGTACCTCATGAATTCACACAGCATGGCAACGAACCCTACACTGTTCCTACGTGCATAGCTTTTTGTGCAAACTTACCGGTTGAGTGATCATGTGGCTATGCGGGCACCGTGGTCCCATGTTCTCTGATCCATCCTCCCAACCTCACCACTTATCCTGGCAGCCCCAGCAAGCAAAATCCTTTTCTTGCCTAGGGACTGCAGCAGCCCTCTTCTGACTAGTCTGTTGCAGCCCTGAGGCGGATTCCCCTTTCCTCTTGCCAAGTATACCTGCATATCTGCAGTGCTTTCCAGCTGCTCTAGTCCCTACAGAGACTTTTCTTAAATGAAAAGGCAGTTCTGCCACAATTCCCTGTTTATTTGTATATTGTCTCCCTATTTCCAAAAGTAAACAGGGAGACGGATACATTGCTCAACCAATCAGAATAAAGTAAGCTATGAAACATCTGTTATTAGGGAGCTAAGGATGACAGAGATCAAAAGCTAGAAGCCACCATTTCCGCGGCTGTTCTTGCCAGGGCACTCTATGGTGTTTCCATTGCACAACAGTGGTAAAATAGCAATCCTGGGTCCATATGACTGGAGAAGCCAAGCTGAAATGAAGAGACCATTGGATCTCTCTGTGGGTTTCAGAAATGCAGGAACTCCTGAACCGGGCCCAGATGACAAAACAGACTTAAAATCGTATCACCTTGGGTTCTTGCAGATCATTACCTCCAAAGTAATGATCTACAACTACAATGGCTGAAGCTTTTCCTCCACCAGACTTAGAACTGGTAAAAAGCCGGCCTCAGATGCAAGTGAACTTTCCGTGCCCCCAAATTCTTCTACAACTCAGATCAAAATATGAATTACAGCTTAATTCCTGGCTTCCTTTCCACTTGTCCTGCTTGACCTCTTTACCCCATATGCCAGAGGACCCCCCCCACCAAACCCCTCACTCCCATCACCTCAGCCAGCAAGTAGCAGCAGCAGTGCACAACAAAACAGAATAGAAGGAAACTTGTCCCTTACCTCCTACCTCTTTTTTACCTTGCTGCATTGAAAAACAGTGCGCCAGGCCATATGACCCAGGGACTCACTGGAGATGTTGCTGCAGTACTTGTAAGCCCTTAGGAGGGCAAGAAAGTCTCCTTCCTCTCTTAATATGCCACTGCCCATTGCCATAAAAAGGAAGAGGAAGGAGATGATGGCTTGCTGCATGCTAGTTTCTTGAGTTTTGGACTCTGAGAGGAAAATGTCTTCTCATTTTGGAGAAGGAGCCTGAAAATTTTTTTGAGGTGAGCAGGACAGAACTCTCTGGGTGGAACCAAATTCACATCTCTTTCCATTTCATTTAACACCTGGTTACAGAGGGCAATAAACACTGGCATTCTGATTGTTTGCTTTTTAAAGAAAAAGACAGTAACATCATAAATGCATTTTGATTTATACCAGTAAAGGCAGGAGAAGTCAAGAACGCATGGCATCATTACGTTTTCTAGCATTATGCAAATTCCAGCTAGTACACCATTATCCCCCTTCCTTTTCAGAATCAGTTGCCACCATTTCTACTCCAACGAATATCACTCATAATGTGTATGTTTGTAGGCGATATAGGGGAGAGCTGGACCTGTGCATCTATGTTAAAGACTACTTGGGGATTTCAAAAGGCCACAGGATATTGCGTGCCCCAATCCTGGCAGTAGCCTTTTCTGCAAAAGTTTATTTACCTCTTTTCATGTCAGTGCAGCAATTCCCCAATGACCTTACTTCAGGCACAGTGCATTCTGGAATTCCTCTTCCGAGCAGTGCTACCTCTGCCCCGGCACTCAGTACTGGAGCAGGCAGTCTGCCTATGGAGAAAGGGCAAGTCTACTTTTATTCAATATTCAGCGGTTTGACAAGAGAATCCTTTGAAGAAAAACCAAACAAAAGAAATGGGGAAAATAAAACCAAAATTCTCTAGAAAGACTAAGAAATCCACTGAATACTGAATAAAAATAACTGCCTTTTACTGCTCCGGTGGAAGGGCTCACTAGAATTAAAGTTTTTATGGGTGAACAAGTTCATAGCACAAAATGCAAGGAATTCATTTGAATTAAGTTACTAGGTTAAGCCTGCTAATAGCCAGATGCTCAAATGATCATAGTAAAATTAAGCCCTGCACAGTTGTTTTTTCAAAGTCTTACTTTTCTGAATATTCTAATGTGCAATAGGTACACAGTGAATTGTTTGGTCCAGTTTCTATTCTACTTTGCATTTTGATATTATCTCCAGTTGGTTAAAAAAACCACATACTTTTCTGAAATCTGATAAAATAAGAGCTGACGCAAACCAAGTTTAGGACATGCTTGGGCATTTGTGTCTGTGCTTGCACTCAAAGATTTCTCAAAAACAGTGCTGAACTGATAAAACCTCTAAGCACTTAATGTAGATTAACATAGCATTGTTTCAATTCTCACCATCTGTTCTTTTCACTACCCTAGAATATCACAGGAAAAAACATATGACTGCAAGCTCGGTGTCACAGGAGCAGAGACCTCTGCTTAAAACCCTGCACTTTTAGCCGTAGCAGTAAGGTAGAGGAAAATGGAGTTTTTCCAGCAAAGTTTTAGGTATGTCAAGAACAGTGATTGATATACTGGAAATTGCTTACTTTAAAAAATTAAAAATAACCCTAACATCATGGTGCAAACTGGAAAAAGAACATCCCTGCATTGTTTAAGTGTTACTAATTAGGTGCTTAAAATCATCTGTTTTTAGCTGCCAACAGATGGCACTGCTTTTAAATAAGTTTACTGCTATGCGTTTCAAGACACAAAGAAAGTTTAGAAATGCAACAATTCATGTGAGGAGACAGGAATTTCTATAAGGCCAGGATGAACTGGTCAAAGGGAAATTCTGGATGGAAAGCCTGACTCATAGGATGTTATACATTTCCGCTTACCTAAAACGTTGAGCCTGCTGAGCTAGAGGTCCAGGATACCTTCTGTTTGGAGATTGGTACAGCTGGGAGAGGATGGCCTGATTTGTTTTTTGGCTTGGATTGTTGGCAAACTTTACAGTGATTGGCTCTGTGGCACCTGGAGGTTTCTGCCCATTCAAGCCTTTGATGGCTTCTTCTGCCTCAATCCTCTTGTCAAATCGGATGAAGCCCACACCCCTCGAAACTCCTGCATGAAAGCAGAAGGCACAACGCTCATTCATTGGTAGCTCTCACAAATTATTCCAACTACCCCAAACCACCGCATGTTCACAGCTACAGGTTTGCAAATATATGGCCAACAAGACACATGAAGGACAAGACCAACTTCAGCTGTGAAACAAGCAAATTAAATATATAGACTATACAGTACATTTGAAACAAGGAAGGAAGCTAAAGGGGGATCCAACAAGAGGATGTCCCAGTGCCTGTGAATTTAGCAGGTGCACCCATGATTGGGGCTCAGAATGCTGAGAAACACAGTGAAATAACAGGAAGTATGAAAAGACCGAAAGAATACAGTGGGAGCTGGGTCACATTCAGCATTAAGTTAATTTTTAAGAGTAAGGGATCCAGAAGAGCCATAGCTCGGTGCTCAAGCACAGGCTTTGCATGTCAAAGGTCCCAAGTCTAATCTTTGGCACCTCCGAGCAAGGATAGGTAACAGTCCTATCTGAAACTAGAGAAGCACCTTCAGGTATTTTAGCCTACAATTCCCACCACCCATGACAACTGGCCATGCTAACCAGGGAAAATGGGAGTTTTAGGCCAAGACATCTGGAGGGCCATAAACTGCCCATCCCTGTGCTAAAAGGTTGCTGGTGGTCAGCAAGAAAAAATCCCATGACTCCATTTAAATGCAGCATCCTATTTATACCGTGTAATCACACATGTCCTAGCTAATACCCTTTCCCATGCAAGCTCCTCTTTCCTCTGTTAATGGTGGTATCTGTCCAATGTTAATACATTCCAGGATGTGGTGGGTGGAGGAGAGTGCTCTGAACCTAGCTTTCCTAACTTCAGAAATATTGAGGGTTTGTGTCAATCATGGCAAGGTCAAAGTATAGCATAGGAGGGAAGGATGTGTGTGTGCTTGGGGGGTACAGACTATAGCAGGGGCGGACAATCCAAGGTTTAGGAGCTGCATGTGGCTCTTGGAGTTCATTTTGCAGTTCAGTGCCCACGGGCACCCACAGATGCCCACTTGCTGCTCACTGCCTGTGGGTGCTCACTCTCAAACATCCGACATTTACCATATGTGGCATTTCTGTTAAGTGAGTCTGGCCAACCCTGGACTATACCAACACTATATCCTGACCCTAATTAGGGAACAGATTATGTCAGCACCTATCCCCACCAAAAGAAGGAAACACACACATGACAATACCATGAGAAACAACACACCAGCTGGACAAAGGAAAGTCACCAATACATGCATGTGAAACACAGTAAGGATTCAACATTTTGATCACATACACACCGCCTTTCCAAAAAACAAAAACAAAACCCCCAAAACCATGTGCATCTGCGGCTACATGATTAACTGGCAGTGATTCCACTTCATAAGAGTCTACCAAAGTTCAATAAAAGATACAAACATGTTTTAAGGTTTTTGTATCATTACAAGAATACCCTCCTCACAGGGTAGTTAATGGGTTTGTTTGTTTGAACTGTTTTATTTACAGAATTAAAAGGACAAGGGGAAGCAGTATGAAAGCCCAGGAAGGAAAAAAAAAAGACTGTAAGCATGGAAGGATGAGGGGTAGGGTTGGGAGGAATCTGTCCCCCCTCCATCGATTCCTCACACATCCTAGCGTGGGAGAGAACTGCTGTTTTTTCTCTCTAAATGCTAGGGAATTTGACAGAAATTGTGGGAAACCTTGGGGAGAAACATCCTATGAACATAGGACTTTAAGAATGACAAAAGCGTTTTAAGACTAGTTTTTATTCACTTAAAATAGGCAGTGTAAAGAATGTTATGAAAAGGCATTAGATTCTTTTACATACACTAAGACTTTAGATATTTCCCTCATACACTGTGTAAAGAAACAATATTCAAATCCAAGGCACATTTCTGCACCTAGAGAGTATTGCCATTGATATGACAGGCACATGCTAGGCATTAGGTGCCTTGTACACTGCTCTTTTTTTTTTTAAGTACTTTGGAGATCTAGCATTATGCATCAGATTATTTTTTGGATCTGACCCTTCCTTTGTGGTCTACCTTTTCACTTTCCTGCTCAAACTGCCTGACACAAATCTCTCAGGACAATGATTGGACAGATACATGAGGGAGGAGGTGATCAGTGGCCATGAGCCTTGCTGAGAAGCTTGGGCAGAAAGGAGATCTTGCACCCATCCTGCTGGAGGGACCCTCGGGACAGCTGGTTTGCCACTGTGTGTACAGAGTGCTGGACTAGATAGAGCTTTAGTCTCAACCAGCACGGCTTCTCTCATGCCCTTATGCTATACACATGGATTCAGGGGTAAGTTGGGTTCCATGAGACTTACTCTAGCAGCACTGGATTGCAACCTAAGGCATTTCTGCTTTCTGAGAGGGGTAAGCATCATTAAACAAAGTGGGTCCCAATTAGGGTTGGACTGTTTTGTAAATTTCAATCCACAATTTATATTCTAATGTATAAATGAACAGAATACACTTTCTGAAAATGTTCATGTATCATGGCAACCTACCCTGGCAGGAAGTCACAGCAGGTTGATGGCTGCGCTGGCAATCCATGGTACATCTCACACCTGACTGAGCTTACTGAGTGTTGCTGGCTCCCTCCCTCCCTCTTGGCTCCCCTGTTCTATCAGCCACTGACAGACCCCACACGGAGGAGCTTGGGAACTTTGAAGGGACTGTCAAAATTGGGATTGTGGAAGCTGGCTCGCATGATCTCCAAAAATAAAAGGAGAAGGTTGGGGGGGGGGGGGGAAGCAAGCAAGCCAACCCTGCTCACAATTGCAGTAGGGACTGCAGCAAGCCAGGGTCAGCTGTTGTCCGTGCTGAGGGACACTTGCCAGGAATGGCAAGGTGTTTTTGCCACTGTTGTCAAGTCAGTCAGCAGTGACTCTCTAGTAGGTCTGGATGATGCAACATCCAAACTTAAATCCCAAGAACAAGCCATGCATTTATCAGGGTGGCTTGCAGCCCATAAACAATTTTTCAGTATTCCTAGGACATTCCAACACATGTGGGTAGCCAATCCATAGGTTATCTTTATTACTGTGTGAAGCTTAGGCCTGCCAAAACACTATTTCATGTATTATTTTTCTCTAAAAATGTTCTTCTTCAATAGTTTCCAAACATCTGAAAATTTGACATCTTCAGAGAAGCAACAGCAGCAGATTTAAGTGCAGAGATGTGGTCTGAAAATCTTGCCCTCCTCCTCTGACAGCTCCTGCCACATTACGATTTAAAAGTATTCCAATAACAGGAGCACTGCTGCAGTGAAGACTAATGCATAAATGAGGTGAGGAAGTGCTATTCACAGTACATCACTACATACTGTAGCTTTCCTTACACACATCCCACCACTTAAGAATGACAATGGAACTTATACAGCTCAGAGTTTTAGCATGGATTGTTCCAGACTATTAGACTAAAGTATAGATTATCTGGTTTCAGATGCTGATTCTGCCACTAAGTTTCCAACCTGCACAAAAATCAATTCAACATGCTGATATAAATTCAATTGTATATAATGTATATTGGATTGTGAACATGGTGGATGATCATTCACACAGTCCATACACACCTGACCTAGCCATAGAACTGTCTTTGAAGTAACTCTCCTACTAAGCCTTTAAGGATACAATCCTGTGCATGTTTGGATAGAAAAATAACCTACAACTCTAAACATACATAGGATTCCATCTTAACATACTTCTTTCTTTTTTTGCAAGCTGGTGGGCACAGAAGCATAGGTATTAGGTGTGCTTGCATTGCCTTTAACACAACTGTTTTACAAACTGACAGGAGTTTAAAAATTAATTTGCAGACCTGATGGTAGAACAGTGTCATGAAAACCTCCCAAAAAGAACCTGGTAGGCATACAGATAGCCCATGCTGCCTTGTTCATAATGCCCATGGCTGGTACAAAAAATGAATAATGTGTCAGCAAGCCTGGAAAGGCTTGCCTCCTGGAATTAGCCCTGCCCTGCGGCTTTCCCAAAGGATCTGACTTGTCACTTTAGGAACCACAACGAAGGGCTGGGCATGCCTTTGCTCCTATTCAACAGGTTTCTTCTCATTGATTTGAAACAGGTACACCCTATTTTAAATTTTTGCTGTGAAATGAAGGCAATACTTGATATTCAAATATCTCTCATTCTATCCAAAGAAGAAGATGCTCACAAATTTGTGAAGCCATTCTGGAAAGTGCATTTGGGTCAATGAAGACTAGGTGGTCAAGGCTGTGACACCTGGAGATTATGCAAGTCTTTTTTGAAAGTAAAAGCCTGCTTCCTATTTTCCTAGGATCTTAAAATACACAGAATAAAACATTCTTAAACTCTTGAAAATGAGGAAGGATGCACCCTATACACCAGCCTCCCTAATGGATTTGTCTTTTCCTTTTGGAGGAGAGAAAGAAAATGTGCCCGCTAAGTTGGCACTGCCTGGAGAAGCAAGAATGAGTTTGAAACAAATGAACTGTTCAGTATGTCTGCATCAAATCAATATGCCTTTCATACTTAAAAAAACCCAGTAGATTTGTTTTCCTCTGGCTCTAACAGTTAATATTTTCTTCAGCAGGATAATGCAACTTAAAAAAAATGCCTCAGTTTGGAGTTTGTGTAGTCTTGGCCTAAGAGAACTGCTGAGCACTTCCATGTAAGATTCTGCTTTCTCTTGCTGTTATCATTATTATTTTAAAGACTGTGTATAAGCATTTCATAAGGAACAAAGGGGCTATTTCCACTCAGTGTCTTGGAAATGAAGATCACAGAAGCTGTAAATTTGTTACAAGGCATGAAACAGTCTTCATACCTGCACCTCCAAGGTGGAAATGACTCAGGCTGGCTGGCTGACTACACTCAACAATGTGTTTTTGGACATGCATATTTATGAACAATTTCAGCAGAAAATTGTATTTTCTGGCCCACATGTGCCTTGGATATGTTCTGGAAGCAAGACTGCTGTATTGGAAGGAATACTGTGGAACCTGCCAGGCTGAAAGAGTGTAGAGCAGCTTTCTACTTACCAGTGACTTGGTCAACTAGAATACGGGAAGTAATAATACGTCCATACTGGGAGAACAGCTGCTCCAGTTCTTTCTGAGTCATAGTTTTTGGGAGGCCACTGACATACAGATTTGCATCTCTAATAGAAGCTGAACTTGGTCGCGCATAGGAAACCTGTGGAATGAGAAAATAAAACAGGTCCAGTTCTTCATGAAGACTGCTGCATTAGAATGGATGGGGAAATGAAATCACACCACTGCCACCTTCATATAAAAATGTAAAAAGGTGAAGCCTAAACTAAGAACTTTCTTTCCAAGTGTATGCCATAATATTAGGTTGCATGGTAGACCTTATTGTTTGTTCCATGGAAAATCTCATTTGCTAGAAAAGAGATGTCTGTCACCCTGCTACTAAGGCCCATTATTAGGGATTATAAAGCCTGTTTCTATTTTAAGTTGAAAATTATGAGAAGAAAACACATTTAGCACTTGAGTTAAATTTTCTCTCCATAGTGCATTTAAAGGCTTTGGTACAGAACTAGCTACCTTCCACATTTTTCTGACCTGACAACCAAAAGCAAGTGGAGTGGGAAAGGGGGTACTCTAGCTTGCTGGAAACTGCTCAAAATATTGGTGCAAATTTGAGGCTAAGAACTGCCTATCTCTAGTGCACACTGCACAAATAGGGGACTACTTCAGATTCAAGTTGTTTTTCTTATGGTAACATTTAATATGGAAACCACTCTTTTCACAGGATATACATACAATCCAACTAGGCCATCTTGAATTCTTTGACATTTAATTGAGCAATTTGCACAATTCATGCAAGCTTCTGCAAATTATGGAGTGAGGCCTGAGGTTTGCACAATTTCCCCCAGTTTTAAACAATTATGCAAATCATGGCCCATTTTAAAAATGGAAGTCTGCTTGTTGGCTTAACATCCACCAGATCAAACGGACATGAGCACAGGGTTGGTGGAATGCAAGCCATGGGGATAAGTAGAGAAAATCCATTTGATTTTCATCCTCACCACCCAGCACTGGATTCCTTGCACATTAAGTTACACAGCCATGTACCATCTCCCACCACATGCAGGGCAAGTGAGATCAGCTAGCCCTGATACGGGAGTACAATTTTCAAGTACCTTTTCCAATTACTGTGTGAAAAAACTTTCCAGGTTGTTTCTTGTTATAGGAATTTAACTTCATCTTATTTTCTTTTTGCAAAGATCTATGTACTCAAGTTTAACCAGAGAGCCCTCTTATGACAAGAGTACAGTATAGTTAACTATGAACATGTAACACTGCTTAATAGAAAAATATATTTTTCTCTGTGTACTTAAATTCTCTTGAAGTTAATATCCAAGTTCTGCTTCAGCAGAGAGGCTGCTGCTTTTAGCTTAAAGTAATGGCTTCTTTTTGCCAAAATTACATCAAGTTCTTTGTTAAGTGAAGCCAGGTAAATTATTTCTTGTAGTATTTCATTTATCTCCATCAAACTGCCCGAAATTAATATAAGATCTGGAATTGTTGAAGACTTTACCACATTAAAATTTCACTTGGGCAGTTATGTAACTCACTTATACAATACACCAAGGAAATTCCACCTTTAAAAAAAACAGCTTTGCTTGTTTTTAAGTTGTCTAGCCCTTTCAAAACTTAGATGTATACATTTGCTGCTTGTGCAGCATGGACTGCCAATTCCCCTGCTACTGGAGCCATCAGTGACCACTAGCAACTACTTCTAAGGGACCCCCAGAGCTCTTCCCTGAGCAAATATGCCATCCACTCGCAAAACAGCTCTCTGGATCTAAGCAAAATATTCTCATAGGGCTGCCTTTGGTTCTGTAGCTGGCTGCCCAGAGGGAATGAACAACAGGAAAATGGATGGGGAGCAGGGTTCAGAAAGGTAGTACCTGTGTATCTGTGTCTCTTCTACCACCTGCCAATTTCAGCCACTCCATTTCATTCTCTCTCCCACCAGGCTTTAGACAGAGATGCTTCAAAGCCCTTCACATGTCTAAAGTCCGGCAGGATGAAAAAGCAAGATGACAGAGACATTTCATTTCCCACTCCACCTGAAGAATGAAGGCTCAACAGCAGCCTCAGTCTACCACAAAGCTTCCCACAGCTATAGGGAAGGCATGGGGGATCCAGAGTCTTCCTGAGGTCATTGCTGTGTCTACTGTCTTGAGGTGGGGGGGGGATGCTGGGAGAGGGGGTCCACACCATCTTCTGGTCCCTGGAAAACCTTCTGGGACCACAGGACTGCTCTTGTTCTACCCACTTAAATAATCATACTGAGTAAACAAAGCTAAAAGATAAAAATACCCCATGTTTTGTTTGTCCTTATACACAAGCATTTGACTGAAATATCTAAGGGGGGGATTGATCACATTAATAACTTAATATGAGATAAACATGCTGTGTATAATTTATTGGAATAGTTCTAAAATTTTAAATAGCATGAACTTCCCTGGCGCTGTTTAAATATACACCCTTGAAAGTATAAAATTGTTGACATACACAAGTATTTTAGTAACCCAAAAAACTGTGCACAACATGGTGAGAAACATTTTGTGCTCCACATCTTTGAAATGGTTGAACTGTTCTCATACAAACTTAGATTTAAAAAAAATTGTGAGAGGGAAAAGCACTGGATAATTTTCTGTGGAAAATTTTTTCACCCCACATCCCTGGAAATGGGCTGGATATAAAGACTGCTACACACAGCTACGCCTGGAGATTTATAATGATGTCCTTTCAAAATTATTCTATGTAGAACATAATAGAAGAGTTTTGCAATTCTGAGTTGTTACAAAAACTGTACTTGTGAACAGCACTGGCAACTTAAATTTGTTTTTCAAGCCCCCCAAAGGCTAGTCCAATCCTTTCAGTGCTGCAAGGGAGACACAGTCTAATGATCCTCAGCCCTATTTACTGCCTAATAATTCCATGATGTTCCTACATGGACAACAAAATGTGCCTTCCTTACCAGCATGCTTATGCTATGTCACAATAGATTGGATACAAACTGCATCTAAACATTTTCAGTGCTGTTTTGCAACTGATAAATACTAGCAAAACAAAGGTCTCCACATCAAGTTTATGCAGCATCAATTTTAAAAAATGCAAGCATGATGTTCAAAGCTAGGCTTTTAAAGTTCATAATTTAAACATATTTAAGAGGATATATGCTGAACACCACTTCTAACATGAATTCAGAATTGCCAATCTAAGTGTAGATATATTTTTATTTGACAGAATGATAGGCCTAAATGCATAGTTTGAAACCACAACTAAGATCCCTGTACGATTTCCTGTTAGAACACTGACACACAGAGAGGTCCGCCTGGCACCGTCATTAGGTTTTTTTGGCACCAGGTTAAGACCTTTTTATTTAATCAATATTTTAATATGTTTTAATATTGAATTTTATTATTGTATTTTATGAATTTGCAGCCAGAGTGGGTCGTCAATTTATTTATGCTGTTAGCCATCCAGACACGTTAGTAATTGGACAGCATACAAGTTTTATAAACAAACAAACCTTTGATGAAAATAGATTATGCTGTTTTACCCCTAATGCAGCAGTCCCCAAGCATTTGGCTACAACAGAATTAGAGCAGTTTGTGAAAGAGAACAGGCATTCTGTACCTAAATGGGACAAGCATGCGATGAGATGGAACACTCCGGCCCCACTTCTCTCTTTCACTCCTTCCATCAAATAAGAGAACTGGGCACCAGGGGAGGGGGGGAGCGGCATTCTGACTCACGTGGACAACCTCCATAGATAGCCTCCTTTTCAGACAGTTGTCCGCCACAAGTAGAGGGTGATGCATGCAATGAAGGTGGAGCATCTCAAGACATGCTGGCCTATTTTCATACAGAATGCCTGAACAGGGCTATTATGGTTTATTTGCCTAGAGCAGAATACTGTTGTTTGCAACTTTTTCACTGGTAAAGCAAAACATTAACAGAAAAAATACTTTCCTAATAAAGATCTACAGTGAAGGTGTAAAACAGTATAATATTTCTAAAATGCTGAGCATGGTGAGACCACGGAGCCTAGTGTGCCTCTTGCACCCACTCCACTGGGTGCTTTCCTCCACCACAATTTTCTCAGGCCCCAGTAAGGCTCTCACAGCTGCTCCATAGCTCCCATCCTTTAACCTTCCATTAATATTCAGTATCTACCACAAAAGGAGAAATCAAAATGGCAGAGAAGATAATATTTGTTTTATGCCCTTCCACAAAAGCAAAAGTTACTTTAAAAAATCAGGAATAGGTCGGCAAAACCATGGAGGCCTTAACTTAATCACTAACCTTCTATTATATAAAAGGCAAACAGCTAAGCATGGAGAGAACATTTGGGGGGGGGCTTTCATTTTTAGGTCACCATCAGATGGAGATGACTTAACGGCAACAATGTAACAGCAACATAAAAGACCAAAATGAGAACGAATGTCCTTCACTATTCCCTTCTCTAGAAATTGTTCCAGGAACCTCAAAACTTTTCAGCCAGAGATATGAGAATGAGAAACTGTTGAGAGGCCCAGCACAAAATGTCTGCTCAGGAGATGGCTACTTTGGCATCTGTTGCGTCAATAGATCTTAGGCTGTGTTTTATTATGCAAAAGGACTCGCTGTGTGCCTATTGGACATGGCAAAAACCTTTAAAACCTTAATGCATTGAATTCAGCTAATCCTTCCTTTGAATGTATGTTCCAGTGGGATCCAGCAGTTACTTCTTTGTGGGAGGAGGCACCCCACAGTCAGAAGATATTTTGTATCCATCTAACATTGAATGAAATTCTGTGGTTGACTGCAGAACATCAGATTTTGAATTTATTATCTTGCAGTTAGATTATTTTGACTGATATTCAAACACTTGCTCCATCAACTAGATTTTTCATAGCTGCACATTGGCCTAGCATGTTGTTGGACCACCTCTGTTAGGCTGGAAAGGTGCAGGCCTGCAGCCAGATGGGTGGCATGTGGAAGGAGAGCAGTGGGTTGGACTCAATGGCATTATAGGCCCCTCCCAACTCCAACTGCAATAAAACACAATTATTTTATTTCTGCAATACAATATGCTTCCTTTTAGAAGCTTATCGCTCTTTAGGAACTAGATACCAAGTCTGCTCAGTTAAATATATGTACAGGACTAGCAGA